ACAGCTGAACTCGATGGGTAAGTGTGCTGTACTGTGGTGTTTGTATGCTAGGTTGACACCTAATGTCTGACACTGTCTTGGATTTCCCTTGGTCTCCCCCAGAGAAACCAATCTGAAGGTGAAACAGGCTCTGACTGTAACTGGAGAGCTGGGAGACAACATTGAGGCACTGGCTGCCTTTAATGGTGAGAATCTGAATCTGAGACAACACACAGTCTGATTTTTAAAAGTGAAACCTGTTTGTGTCATTGGGAAATGTCAGAGGGGAGAAAAACAAACAGAGTTTTTTGACAAAGTAGTATTTCACCTGTTTAAGCCTCTACTGAGTGATTACATTTTCTCATGTCTGTGTAGGTTTTCAGTCATCCAGGTCATAGTCTAAGAATCTTGGAAAGAAAGCGACTGGGCTTATTTACGTTTCTTGAAACTTAGACATCCAGTCGTTTTCTTTCCATGCATATCCTCATGTATTGCTTTTCTCTACCAGTGTAAAAAGCAGATCCTGGGTTTTATTTATTTGTTGTTTGTTTGTTGCTTACTTGAATAGATCTGTATACATTCACTAGCCACTTTGTTAGGTACACCTGCACACCTGCTAATTAATCTAATCAGCAAATCATTTTAACACGTGGACAGGGTTAAAATGATCTGCGGAAGTTCAAACTGGCTATCAAATTAGGGAAAAAATTAAAGGGACTTTGAATGTCACATGGTTGCTGGCGCCAGATGAGTCTGAGTATTTCAGAAACTGATGACCTGCTGGGATTAACCCACATCTGTAAGGTTTCCAGAGAATGGTCCACAAAAGAGAAGATATCCAGTGAGCAGCCGTTCTCTAGGCAAAAATCCCTTGTTGATACAAGAGGTCGGAGGAGACAACCCAGACTGCTTCGAGCTGTCCTCTAACTATCCTGTGAACTGATGTTCAGAATCATTTGCTGACACTGATTTCTGTTTCTCAGGTGAAGTGCGATGTGAACCTCCCAATAACCGTCTGGACAAGTTTAAAGGGACTCTGACTTTGAACGGAGAAAGATATGCCTTGGACAACGACAAAGTGCTGCTCAGAGGCTGTACTCTCAGGAACACTGAGTGGTGCTTCGGTCTGGTCATCTTTGGAGGTACACTGTGCACTGCAACTGTGTACAATTTGCAATTTGAGTGATTTTTTTTGGTCTAGCTTTTATTGTTTTCTCTGATAATAATGTTTGAAGTTGTACATAAGAGACTAGAGCAGGAAGGAGATGCAGCAAAGGTGTGCAGAAGAAAATCTGACACCAATAATCCTTTCCAGGTCCTGACACTAAACTGATGCAGAACAGCGGGAAGTCGATATTCAAACGGACAAGCATTGATCACCTGATGAATATCCTGGTGTTATGTGTGAGTTTACACAAGCACAAATACAAAGAAAGTCACATGAAGTCTCAATTAATAGATAACTTAAAGACAGTGATTTGTTTTTTCAATTGAGTGACAAGAGTAATATTGTTTGAATAAGTCTGATATTTTTATTCCATCAGATCTTTGGTTTCCTGGCATCTATGTGCTCCATTTTGACCATTGGCAATGCTATCTGGGAAACAAACGAGGGCTCAGTGTTCACTATGTTTCTTCCTCGTGAACCAGGCATTGATGCTCCTCTCTCATCATTCCTCATCTTCTGGTCTTATGTCATTGTCCTTAACACAGTGGTACCAATTTCACTCTACGTCAGGTAAGTAAAAATGATGAAACAAGAAAACAACCAAAGTTGGTTTGAACACTTGAGACTTGTGTTAATATGTATCACATTTTGAAATTTTACCAATTTGTGCTACATTTTTAGCGTGGAGTTCATTCGTCTGGGAAACAGCTTCTTCATAGACTGGGACAGGAAGATGTACTATCCTAAGAAAGATACTCCAGCTCAGGCAAGAACCACCACACTCAATGAGGAGCTAGGCCAGATTAAATACATCTTCAGCGACAAGACTGGCACTCTGACACAGAACATCATGACTTTCAACAAGTGCTCCATTAATGGAAAAGCTTATGGTGAGCAGCTTTGCTTGTGTAAAAAGGTGTCAGAGAGGCAAATGGAAACATGAACATTGTTTAAATGATTCATTTTACAGTACATTTATCTTATATTCAGGAGACCTCTATGACTTCTCTGGAGAAAGAGTGGCAATTACAGAGGTGAGAGGAAAATGCATGATTGTGTAGCTTATTTGAAGAAAGTATTGATCCAACTTTGTTGTTTCGGCTTTTCTTGTAGAGGACAGAGAGAGTGGACTTCTCCTGGAACAATCTGGCTGATCCAAAGTTCAACTTTCATGACCACAGTCTGGTGGAGATGGTGAGAAGTGGAAACCCTGAGACTCAGGAGTTCTTCCGCTTGTTATCCCTGTGTCACACTGTCATGCCTGAGGAAAAGAAAGAGGGTGAGGGGTCCCCTAAAAGACATCTTCATGTCATTTACATTTCAGGAGAATTTCAAAATATTCTTGGAGTCTATTTAAAAACTCCAAATTCAGTGCAATAAAAGACATACAGGTACATAGAAATGTGCTCCACCATGCAAATGTTCAAATTTTACCCTTATATGCCAATTAAATTGTCATCTCTGTTTTACCTGGTAGGAGAGCTCAATTATCAGGCTCAGTCACCTGATGAAGGCGCTTTGGTGACCGCTGCAAGAAACTTTGGATTTGTGTTCCTATCACGCACACCAGAAACCATCACAGTCATAGAGATGGGCAGACAAGTCATCTATGAACTTCTGGCCATTCTGGACTTCAGTAATGTTAGGAAGAGGATGTCAGTTATAGGTGAGATAAGGGGTCAACCATACTTTTTTTGGCCATACTTCGTATGTTCAGAAGATAGACAATTTCTTTTTCTGGATGCATTACGTCAAACTTTCTAACTTTTCCTGTCACTTCCAGTGCGCAGCGCAGAGGGGAAGTTGACTCTATACTGCAAAGGTGCAGACACCATGATTTTTGAAAGACTGCACCCCTCCTGTAACAAACTGATGGAAGTAACCACTAACCACCTCAATGTGAGTAATCCAAAGCATATAAAAGTAGCTTGAAGCTAAAGTCAATGAAATTTTAATATAATTAATGTAATTTAACATTTGACTTCTTTCGATTATCAAACAAAAACAGGAGTATGCAGGTGATGGCCTCCGTACACTTGCTCTGGCCTACAAAGACTTAGATGAGGCCTACATGATAGATTGGACACAGCGCCACCATGAGGCCAGTGTTGCCATGGAGGGACGTGAAGAAAAACTTGATGAACTTTATGAAGAGATAGAGAAAGATATGATGGTTAGTACATGTGCTGAAAACTTTGTCACATCGCTAGATCATCTGACAGACCAATTTGCTGCTTGATGACCTACCTGTAGTTTTCCAGAAATTATACGTACCAGGGATGTCAAATTAATTTTACATCGGGGGAAAATATAGCCCAATTTCATCTTAAATGGGCTGGACCAGTCAAACTCTGCTTGTCCCCAGTCAATGTTAATAAGTTTAACTATACATTTTACCTTGAGATATCTTACAATAAAAAAAGAAGTGCAATTTCAACACCTCAGATTTTCTTACATGATTGTGGCGGGGTGTGGTTTGCGATACTGCTGCAGGTGCGATTGACCCACCTGCGTGGCATCTGCAATCACGCCTAGCTGGCTTAAAAGTTAGGAGTTCTGGTAAATGCTGTTGTTGTTGTGGTAATGTTGAGCTGGCAGTAGGAGAGCTGCAGCTCTGTGTGTGTTTGCACAGCAACCATGTGAGTGTTAATAAAGTATGCTGAAGAGCATGTTCATGCCATCGGGTCTGCCATGGTCATTTACAATGATGAAAAATGCTTCTGTAGTAAATGAAAGAAATCTATCAGCATAAATCTTTGAGCTTAAATTGTAAGACGTGAATGTGTAAAGGTACAGAAGAATTCTGGTGGTTTGTTTTCCCAGAATGTCCTCCAGAAAGCCATCCTTTTCATCCTTTTTCCAAAGTTGTTTCCAGATTAAAGTATTTGCCAGGCTGATTCTGGCACCTGGGTTCGTTTGACACCCCAGCTTTAGATTGTGCACTAATGTTACAGTGAAACCAGCATAATTTGTCATAAATGTATAAATCACAACTACATCTGTGGCTTTAGCTGTTGGGAGCGACAGCTGTGGAGGACAAGTTGCAAGACGGTGTACCACAGACCATTGAGCAACTGGCTAAAGCTGACATCAAAATCTGGGTGTTAACTGGAGATAAGCAAGGTCAGTGTCACTTTATGTTTCTTCTTATTTAAGCTTTTTTTTTTGTAGATTTAAGATTTATTGATTGAAAATTATTTTACTGTTCAACAGAGACAGCAGAGAACATTGGCTATTCCTGTAACATGCTAAGAGGGGAGATGAA